ATATATATGGATATGAATAAAAATGACAATAGGAACACTAGTAATTGCTCAATCCTATTGTCATTTTTATTCATAAATATTGTCTTCTCTACTGATGTCATGTCTGTTTTTTAATTTTAATTTTAGGTCAGTGAATCAGTAGTGATTTATGCATCTGAAAATAATTCATATTTATCTGTATCTCACTCATTTAAACTGTTATTTAACTCCTCTCTTTAAAACTTCTCTCTGTTAAATTTTAATCCCCACCTTCACCTTTAGGCCCTCCTGTTCTTCTTTCTTCTGTTACACCTCTCTAGAGCTTTCATACATTTCCCTCTCACACTTGTTTCCCACTCCCACACATATACTCTCACTAAAATTTTGTTTTTTTTATCCAGAGTTATATTTTCTAATTTCTTTTTGAATTTGTCGGTCTGATGAATTGGATTGTGAGGAATTAAGAAAGAAAATTCAATAATAATAACCATTTATATATATATATATATATATATATATATATATATATATAAATTAATTGATTTAAAATATGGTTTTTCCACTACACAGTTCTAACCATGTTTAAAAAATGGAAGCTAAAAGCTTTGAATTTAATTTTGTAATTAAATTAAAGACATTAGTTCCATTTCATCCTCAACCGAATTTTGGAGTAACTTATTACTGGGTTTTAAATTGGTTGTGATTACGATTCCAATGTAATAAATTATTATTATTATTGAATCTTCTTTCTTAATTCCTTAAAACGATGCCAAGTTCAAAAAACAAAATGCCAAAGTTTTATGTGAGCTAGGAAACTTTCCACTGGTAATACCAAGTCCTTCATCATCACTCTTTGACCTCCTTATTGTCGGTTGGGACTCCATTGTCAATCCCTTTCCACACTGTTTGGTCCTGTATCGCTGTTTCCAGATCCCCAATATCCAAACTGTTGTTCCAAGCTATGGTGGCCTTAAAACATAAAGTCAGGGATGAAAAGTACTAAGCAATTTCTCTTGCATGTTTAGTGTCTTTATATTTATATGTAATTCTGTTTTTTTCATTTTTGATTGGGGAACTCTACAAGAGTTCCCCAATCAAAAATGAAAAAAAACAGAACCTGGTGTAGTGATACATGATGATGCTCATTAAATGATCTGGGAGTTTGAATAACAACTTTAATTGGGAAGGACTCTTCAAAACTCATTTGGGGGCAACATTCTAATCTATATCTTCATATGATCAGTCACAACCAAAATATTTTTGTCTAAGTTGAGTGTGGGTTGAGAGCTGTGAACAATTATTTCCATTCAAGCTGACAAGTAAAAGGGGTTCAAATTTCCTAAAAGAGGAATCATTTTGCCTGTGAGTCAATTCATCCTAGCAAACACTACAAGGAAGAACTTGATTTGACACTTTTTGCTTTCCCACTTACTAAATCTAGTAGAAGCTGTTCTATTTTGCCAGTGAATGAAGAACAGGAATAAACAAGACTCCTTGCTTCAACTGTTTTTGTCATCCATCATTTATTGAAAACTGTGTCCCTTTTTGATCACCCTACTTTTTCTGCATCCATCCACAGTGTCATTTAAGAAGTGGCATCTAAAACCTAACCAGGTGTTGATCCAAGGCATTAGTTCTCCTACATAGCAACACCTCATTGTATTAACAGGGGTTGCATCAAAAATAAGGGAAAAGCTGAAGAGACTGGGCCATTTTTACCCCACATTATAACTGACCTTGTGTTGTATTTACTGTCATGTTAAATCAAATACAATTCTTCTCAGCAAGAGCAACAATGCTTAGCAAGGGTTAGGGCAAGAAAAACAAGAACCAGTGTCTTAGATTCATGGAAGAATTACTGAAAGAACTGAACAGCTGCCAATCTCTGATATGGGAGCCTATAAAAATAAAACTATATAAAAAGGATGAAGCAATTTCTAAAGAATGACAGATGCACTTGAGGTAGGATAAAGAACATATCCTGAAATATTTTGTTAAAAACAGCAATAATTAAGATACTCATCTGAAAAATGTCTGATATCATTTAAGCTAGAGTGTTGCTAATTACATCATGGTAGTTTTAATTTTGGGAATATACTTTGACAAATTTTATATGTGTGTGAATAATGATTTTAGCATATGAAAGTTTTGATATGTTGGCTCTATAAATTCTAATTAAATCTGTACTGGGACCTTGCTTGAGAGCCGAAAAGATATGGAATATAAGGTTAGAATCTTGCCCATAATAAATTGAGCACTTGAAACTGTACCAAATTCAAAATTGGCTAAGGATAAGAAACTGTTTTATGCAAGCAGAAAGACCTTTTTTGCCAATAGATAATGTTCCTATTTTCATTATTCCCTAATACTGATGGCCTTAACACTTTATACCATGGAAAGAATCTACAAAGCAATTTCTGAAGACCTATCACTGCCACCCAATAGATCTGAGAAAAGCTGGAGAATCTTTTTGATGAACTGCTGGGTTGACACTTGCTGGGGTCTGCAAGAATATTGAGAAGGGTGCTGGAGATTTTAGCAGACTTGCTGTCATTCAATGATTACCAAATATCAAGAATGAATATGCAATATGTGAATAAATGCTAATAAACTTTGAGATTCAAATGGGTGTGTTATGGTGTAGAATGATGATTATATGTAATCAT